GGGAGCGGGGAGGAAACATTTAGGAACTAGAGGAAAGTTGTATTTCTCATCGTTGTTACATCGCACCCTGACTGGCTCATCTCCTTCCCGAGACCCCTCTGCAAGGGGATCTCCAGTGGCCTTCAAATGGGCTTTGGATCGCCACTCCGCACTCCTCCCGCTGTTTTCACTGATGTACGCTGAGTGGCTTTGCGTGTGCGTTCAGCAATGGCCAGGGGCTGTTGCTGTGTGCTGTCCGGTCAGCACCGGCTCGACGCAACCTCACAGAACAGAGCGGAGCTGCCCGGAGTGTCCCCCGCGGCAGTCTGGGCAGGTACAGAGCACCAGGTCTTGGCCCCCACCCAGTAGGGTTTGACTTTGCTTTTTATGAAGTCTTGCATTTTCTTCCTTAGCTTTGTGACTTAGCCTCACAATCATCTTATTCTGGATTTGACTTGTGTCGGAGAGGTGGCCAGCAGCCTGGATTTGATGTGCTTCATAGGGGTGTTGTGAAGCACAAGGAGTGTCGTTGAACCATGATATTTTGGGTGTCAGGGTGGCTTTATTTTCTTCTGTATCTATCTAACTCTTGAGCAGGCTTCCCCAATTTTTCAGATGAAAGGAACATTTGAAAAACTCTGATGCCCCAGGGGACACCTGGAGGATAAAAATATGTCTATGTCCAATTTGCAGTATGTTAGTGAGGTCACGAGGTTGTAAATCCAGTAATCAATGATATTTTCATTTTTTAACATAATTCTATTTATCTTCGGTGGAATAAAATGGAACGTGTCCTTTGCCCTGGTCATACTTTATTCCACTCACCTTCATTTTATAGGTTTTTTTAAAAAAATCATTTTATTGGGGGCTCGTGCAGCTCTTATCAGAATCCATCCATCCATCTATTGTGTCAAGCACATCTGTACATATGTTGCCATCATCATTTTCAAAACATTTTCTTTCTACTTGAGCCCTTTGTATCAGCTCCTCGTTTTTGTCCCTCTCTACCCACTCCCTCCTTCATGAACCCTTGATAATTTATAAATTATTATTATTTTTTCATGTCTTTTATTTTATTTTATTTATTGCTCCAAACCATTTTATTAGGAGCTAACCCAGCAATCATACCATTCTGGAGTTCAATCGCATCAAACAATTTTGTACAATTGCTACCCAAATCACTTTCATCAAAGCTCTTTTAGATAGAGAGAGTTCTCACGCTCAACCCTAGTCTGTTGTAGGGCTTTTCTCCCTCCATGAAGGATACCACCTCTAATGCAGGTCTATGGTGTAGATTTGATTTAGAAAGATACATATTCTAATTTTCCTTTTCATACATTCCCAACTTGATTGTTTTTTACCTTATCCAATAAGGCTAGACGTGCTTTTGCATACAAACTGCTATTGAGAGAGGGCATATGACATATACTAACTCCAAGAATAGGTTTTTGTCTTTTTTCAATTCAATTTCAAATAAATAAAATGACCCTTTAAACTCTCTATTGTTTATTTTATTTTGTTAAGAAAAGCAAAAGCAAAATGTCTATCTTGGAATTAATCATTTTCTTTCCTTTTTCATGAATTTAAAGCCCATTAAAGCAAACAATACTTTTTTGCTGTTAAATAAGTGGTTTAAGTTGGCATACCGTAATTTAGATAAAGGTTGTGAATTTAATAAGTTCTTTTCCGTATAAAAATGTACTGGCCATGTTGAATAGTAAACCTCCAAGTAAAAGCAATATGAATGAAAATACAGTCTAAGGTGATATTTTATATTATAAGATTTTGGAAAAAATGCTAGTGACATGTCAGGCCTGCGCGATTACTAAAAATTTATTATACACGGATGGTAACTTCATGAGCTCTTAAATAAACTTAAAAGTACATTTAAATTTGTTATTTTGGAACTGAAATAAATGATGGAATTTATTTCTGTGAAGTGAAAGTTCTGACTCTTTTGCTGTACAAGTATTCAATTCTGGGTTGGCTGTGAGACAAGGTCATATTGCTTCTTGTTTTCCGTAGAAATGAGACCATTTATGCTTCTGAAATGAGAGAACGCTTTTCCCCACATGTAAGAAGTTAAAAAAATGGAAAGAGCACCTCTTTATTCCTCTTCCCCGGACACCATTTCCTCCTTCAAAAATTGATAATGGACTCACTAAACGACCATGGTCCTACCTGATGGGTCTGAAAGACCGATAACAAAATTTTCCAAGTCACCATACAGCAACCCCTCGTGGACCCCCTAGCGACATCCGCACAGTTCTCGCATTTCCCAGAACCCCGTTCGAGAAACTTGGCTTTAAGGACTTCCTAATAAGTACTAAGGTCATGTAAACCCCTGTACATAATTATTAATGCAACCCCCACCTCCCCGTGAACCATCTGGTATGTTTAAAAGACGGATTAGGGCATGCCAGGTGAGGAGAGCAGGTAGAGCACCCTGGGCAGGGGGCTTTATAATAAACATCACAGAACAGAGAAGCCCCAGAAGAACCCATTGGGGGCACCAGGGTGACCTAAGTTTCTGGAGAGATTGGACCTTGAACATAAAATCAAGAGAGAGAAAAGATCTTGAAAATCCACTATAATTTTGAACAGTGCGTGAACTGGAAATTGATTTGGGGGGAGAACGGGAAGAATCTAGAAGCAGCTAGGCAAGTGCAGACACTGATGAATGGCAGGCAAGATCATTCGTGCAGGTCAAAATGAGAGCCAGAACCAGACTAGTGGCAATATAAATGAAGGAATGGCATAACTGTGGGGTAGACGGTTAATAGAGCTGATGTCATGGAGGGTGCTAGTTCCATATGCTAAAATACTGGACTTGAGTGAACTGTGTGGGATGTGCCGGTTGGCTGAACTAGTTCCCAAGGCTCCCCCACCAGTCGCCTTCCCTGTTCTGGTCCCTTGACGCTATGGCCCTCCCGTTGTCCCAGGGGAATGCAAACCCAGCAGGGTCAGAACTTCTGATTTTCCAAGGAAGACTACAAATCCAGGGATTTCGTAAAATCCCAGTTTTCACTGTCAGCAATGAAATGCTTCAAAGCGTACTGTGGACCGGAATTGGTGGCCAATGGATCATCCCTTCGTAGAAAAGTGCTGCTTCAAGTCACCTTGAAATGTCCCCTGAACTGAAGCACACTCCCTTTTAGAAACATGTCTGATTCCCTGTTAACAGGAAGGTAATATAAAGACTGTTTATCGTCTTTATATATTTTTATATAGTCTTTATGTATATTTCAGAGTCTTTATATATTTTTTCCTTTTGATGCAATACTGATTGGCAGGTTACAAGCCTTCTCTGTTTCTTCCCAGCCAGGTCTCTAGACAAACTGTATAACTTTGCTGATTGTTCTGGGCTCCACCTGATATTCGCGCTAAACGCGCTGCGTCGTAATCCCAATAACTCCTGGAACAGCTCCAGTGCCCTGAGTCTGTTGAAGTACAGCGCCAGCAAGAAATACAACATTTCTTGGGAACTGGGGAATGGTAAGTACGGATTTTTTTGTTTTTGCTCTGAAATGACAGCATAAAGTGGGGTAGAGTCTCAGTCAGGTCATCTCTAAGACACCTGCCCAGAAAATATTTGAGATGGTAGGCCTCCGTTGACCTACTAAATGGTGAAGGACCAAACAGGGGCGGGGCTAGTGAATTCACCCTATTCACATCTCCACTGATCTCTGATGACCTCATTCCAAACCCGGGACGATGGCCACTGGGTCTGTGATGAACTACGTACGTCATGTTCCGGCAGACAAATCTGCGTGCCCAGTCAAGATCTCCATTTGGCAAGGGGCATGTATGTGTCCTGTGGAACGTTGATTTTACAAGAGGATCCTTTGAAAAGATCCTTAGAATCTTAGAGGATCCTTAGAAAAGAGCTTGGGGGCAGACCTATTTGGAGATTGCTACACAGTACGTGTGGGGAAGATTCTTGAACATTAACATACCAAAGACAGGGAATTCATTAATTCATATGAAGGACATTTAAAAAATATGCAACATTTCCCAGACCATTTATCTAGGGCTGAATGCGTGGATTCTTGCCTCGTGTAGTTGTATAAGAAAAGCCTCATGCTTAGTTCAGAAGGCTTAACTGTTTTTTAATAAATGAGTTTTTTTTTTATTGTGAGGGGGATTACATTTCAGACCATAAACTCTACAGTTAAACAGTTGTCAAGGGGTTTTCTTCTCCTTCTTCTTTTTTTAAACAAGACCTTCATACTTCCCATCTTGCACTAGGTCCAGCAATTTGTGTAGCTGGTCCTGTTAAATCACAGAACTGTGAGCATGTGGGTGCATGTGGGTGTGCACAGACACATACATGCGCGTGTGTATTTATTGCATTCTGGAATGAGAACTTCTCATAATAAGATGACAAGGGATGTAGGTCTTCTAAACAGGAGTTCTGTTCTCCTGTCTCCGGTAACTGGAAGATGGGAACCTCGGGGGAGTTGCGGGCCACGTGGAAACTGAGCTGACGGAAGAGTATGTGGCAATAGGAAGCATCACTGGGGGAGTCTGAGACTGGTCATCTTCCAAACAAGTCTGGGCCGCATATCTCCCACAACCAAAGCGGGAGGGAAGTGATTCGCTTTGAACGGGACAAAGTGATTTCTTGATCCTTCTGCCTCCTTGCTTCCAGTCCGTGCCTTGGCAGTCTTTGGTACTTTATGTCTGTGCACAGCATCCCACCTAACCTTCTCCTGCTCCAGTAGCAAACGCCGCTCAGCATAGTTATAGTCCTCCCACCAAGAGGCCTCAATCAGGTACAATACGTAGAACGAGAGTAGAAGACAGTACCGAGTGATGGCACCCCTGGTGGATTGGACATGCCTTGCTTAAAGGCTTTTTTATTTTATTTTTTAAAATATCGTGATCCCTAAATATAACCATTCTCTTTAAAATCCCAGTTAGGTACAGAGAAGCCCCAAACAATGAAAACTTAAGTACAGATGACTGAAAACAATAAGCCTCCAAGGGATTTGATTTGACGTCTCTGAGCGAGGCAGCTTGTTGAACTACATCAATCTCCAGCTGGTACAATTGGGGTGTGTTGCCAGTGGAGGAAGAGTATATATCTTTCTCTATATCATCATCCGGATGCTCCAGACAACTGAGAAGCAATCTTTCCCCATCCGTACCCTTCAAATGATACGAACTAGTTTGAAGAATGAGCTAATTAAAGAAATAGTACCGCCAATACCAGTTTGTCATACCATGGTGGCTGGTGTACTCTGATGATGCTGGAAGCTATGCCACCGCATTTTAAATACAGGAAGGTCATTCATGTGGACAAGTTTCAGTGGAGCTTGGAGATTAGGACAGATCAGGGAGATTAGGACAGACCTGGCCATCTACTTCCAAAGGTTGCCGATGAAAATCTTATGGATCCCAACCGAATGTTGTTCTTGCTTATGCTTGACAATGAACCCCACGACACAACAGCTGCGGGGATGGGCTCAGATATGACAATGGCCATGAAAATGGCACAGAAATGATGACTATCTGAGGTTGCCACAAGTCAGAGTCATCTCTGGCTACAGCCGCAACATCTAGCCACCGTAGATTGTCTATGAGGAGCAGAGAAGGCACTGTCGGGGATTGGACAGTTACCACATGTAGGCATTTAAAATCCAGTAAAGTGGAAATGATCTGGTAATGTTTTAGTGAGCATTTCTAATAAAGGCAGATAGATATAGGTGATGTGTGTGTGTGTGTGTGTGTGTAAAGTCTCTAGTCAGGAAGGCTAGAGTTAGTTGTTTGTTTGGTTTTGATTTGCTTCCTTTTAAATCGTACTATTTGCTGATGTGACTTTAGTAAATAATCTGCCCAACCCAGAGATATTTATCATCCTACCAATTAGGGTTTGAAGGAGACAGATTTTGCTGTTCCTGCTGTTTTTTCCTGTGATCAGAATCCTTTGATGGTATTCAAAGCATTCTAAACACCACTACTCAGTTTTTATATTCACCATCTTCCCCCACCCCAAAACTGTGTGCGCATCCTCCTGGTCTACACTTGTTCCTTCACTCTTCTATCTGCTTTCTTCTCTGTAACTTTATCTTTGGACAGAGGTAAGAGTTCCCTCGTGGTATCCAACTTTGGGGAGAGAGGATTGAAGCGGTCGGTTCGCTCATCACTCGTCTCCCCTTACACCTATACATTGTTAACAAGTATGCTCTCTCGAGAGGAAATCAGATCCCAAACTCAAAGGGGACGTACATTTCTGGTTGTTTCTCCAAGAGTAGCTAAACTTCCAGAGACGGCGTTCCTTGTGTTTCTCTTTGAAATCGGTGGATAGTGTGGGCGACAGACTACACACAAAAACACAAACACCTCATGGCCATCGAATCAATTGCGACTCATAGCAACATTTAAGACATGGCGGAACTGCCTCTGTGGGCTTCTCAGACTGTAGTTCTTTGTGGGAGTCTGAAACGTCGTCTTTATCCCGAAGACCATGAGGGCAAGGGAAACCTGTTGGGATGAAGATTATGAACGTTTGGGATGTTAAATTCTATGAAAAGAATGACATTTTTTGGATTTGAGATTTTTGAACCATGAAGTGATTTCTGTGGGTATGAAATGCGTCCTTAAATGTCCACACATTGTAATCGTTGTTACTGGTAAATGCCAGGCGATGATTGTAATTATTTGTGTTTTCATTAATCACCGGTTAATCTGAAGTGGGGAGGCACTGGAGGGATTTTGAAACTGGGAATCCACATCGGAAAGTCCAGAGTAAGAAGGCTCGTCCGAGTTTCTTCCATTGAGGAGGTGATTTATCCTCAGAGAGCTGGACGTAGCATGCGGGCTCTGGAAAGAAAGTCATACCTCTGATCGAGTGGCCATTACAGCACACTAGAAAATGAAAAGTGTGCTCACTAAATATCAGGCATGACTCGCTGTGGATTCTGACTCACAAGGACCCTGCACAGGTTTCTGAGATGATGAATCTCTACGGGGTCAGAAGGCCTCGCTTTCCCCCTGCACAGCGGAGGGCCCTTTTGGATGCTGACCTTGAAGCTAGAGGCCCTGTGCCTGATCCACAGCACCACCAAGACTTCTCATAGAGCAGGCATAAGCTACTGTAATTACCTATTGACTCCGTGTCATATTTTCATTGCTACACCTCGCTATTCATTCCCCTGAGAATCTCTTATGATTTCCGTTACAGAATGCAGTTCCCCAAGTCACGTGCCGCAGGGCCATGATATCCTCGGAGGGAAATCAGATTTCTTACCTTAGAAAGTTTAGCCTCTTAGACATGCGAAGTCATTCAAGGACCAGCCTTTAGGCAAGATGGTTTAAGATTGTATTCAATGTTTGGGTAAATAAATGTATGCATGTATTTTATGGGTTGCCATTTCCTCCATTTTGATTGTGTAGACATGTATTTGTGTGTTTGCATGCACATGCACACACACACACACACACACACACACACACACCTATAACAGTTTTAGTTAAGTGAACGTTTCATCTCCTACTGTAAGCACATTGAAACCTGGTCATTAGGCAGGTAACCCAGGGTTTGGAGAGGACGGTATTTTCAGAGGGTAGAATCTTACGTGTAAGAAAGAAGTTAATATCAAGAAGTAATTATATAACAGAAAACATCCCAGCCTAGTCCAACTCAAGTCCATAAATCAAATACTAGTCGACAAGTCACTCTTCAAACTCACGCAGTCACATGCAATCATGCAGAATGCAGGGAGATCACAGGCTGGTGGGTGCAAAGTCATGTGGATGCAAGGTTAGTGGACTGACAGCTCTCAGGGTGGCCAGCAAGCAGGAGAGTCGGAAAGTTGTGTAGTTTCAGTTCTGACCTTTGGGTTTGTGACTAGAAAGTCTAAGGCCCCCACTGGTGTCTTTATTTTCTTCAAATTGTTGTACGGATTCTAGGGTCTTTGGACTTGCATATAAATTTTAGTATTAGATTGTTAATTTCTGCAATAAAGTTTCCTGGGATTTACTAACAATATTGCTAAATCTATATATTAATTTGGGGAGAATTGTCATTTGAGCAATCAAGATTGTCCTCCAATCCATAATTTATTTATTTAGATTTTTCATTCCTCTCTGTAATTTTTTTTTAGTGTTCAGTATGTAAGTCTTGTATTAATTTTTCTCAATTGATAGTTAATTTTATTGTTTTTGTTGCAATTGTGAATGGAATTATTTTCTTAATTTCATATTTGGATTGTATATCACTAATATCTACTGATACAATTAGCTTTTTATATTGTTCTTGTGTTGTTCAACCTGTTGAACTTGTTTTTAGATTTTGGAAATGTATGTGTGTGTGTGTGTGTGTGTGTGCATCTGCGTGCTTGTGTGCATGCACACATGCATGTGTGTGAATTCCTTAGTTTTTCCTATGTACAGGAACATTTATGAGAACAAAGGCCATTTTTCTTCTTTCTTTCAAATTTGTATTTATTTTCCTTGCCTCATTTCAGTTGGAAATTCCAGCAAAAAATATATTGTGGCAAGAGTAGCCATCCTTGCCTCCTGCTTGATCTTAGAGAGTAAGCACTGGGGTTTTCCCCATTGACTATCATGTTAGCTGTAAGTTTCTCTCAGATGACCTTTGGCGGGCTGAGCACGTTCCTGCTGTTCATCCTTGTTGAGTATATTTATCAAGAATAGGTGTTGGATAAAAAAAAAAAATTAAGAATGGTGTTGCATCTTTTTTCAATGGCTTTTTATGCATCTATTGATGAGTCAGCAGCACACTTTCTTTTGATTCCTTATCCTGCTTTTCTGTTCTCTTAGCATGTTGACAACATGCTGATGCCCTCATTTGCCTTGTTCACCATCTGGCTTCTAAAGGTACAGTTTGAATTGAATTGGTTTTCCTACTTATTTGCCTGTCTCATACTTTTGGAATGAAAACTGTACATCATAGGCATTATATTGGAGTGAATCTGAATTCTGGTTCCTTCCTTTCAGAAGTTGTTGTTGCCTCTATCCGGTCGAACTGTTTTTGTTTAGTGACACAATTCTGTCGAGTCTGTCTCCTTTGAATTGTGGAGCTACTAATATCTCAATTAAAAAGTTGGTTTTAATCTCTAAGCCTGTATTTCTAGGGGCCATCTCTGTTCAATCCCTTGCTACTCTGCCACTCTATTGCTTGCCACTGCCAGTATTGCAGACTCCAGCTGCGTGAGATGCTGGACTTCTCTGGGCCTTGCATTCTGTGCCACACCAACTCAGCCTCATCCGAAAGTGGAGCTACTGGCTTCTTGACTTCCCTGCTTGTTTGCACCTACAAAGTGCGTGGGAACTGGGAGGAGCAGGAAGCATAAAAGTTGTACTCAATATTAGTCGCTCGAACATTTTGCTAATATTGGACACACGGTTGTTCTAACTTTTTGGTAATTGATCATCTTTAGGAAACTTACTTTCCCGTTTACATTCATTAGAGATTATCACCTACAAATCGATGTAATTGCTTGCCTGTGAAGATTATGTAATTAGGTAGTAGGTCTTTGGTGAAAATTGGCTTAGCAGATGAATGGAGTGACGAGACTGCCTTGCTGTCTTGTTTTCATTATGATGATTACCAAGGTGGTCCCTCGAGTTAAATGAGCGCTCGTCCTTTTGAGTTATTTTATTCCTGTTTTGAAGAGCAAGGTAAAGTGATCTGTGAACAGGAAAGGGTTGGCCGAACCTCACTCTTCTCAACTCTGACTTACATGTCTGCTTTCAATCTAGAGCCAAATAACTATCGAACTATGCATGGCCGGGCAGTAAATGGCAGCCAGTTGGGAAAGGATTACATCCAGCTGAAGAGCCTGTTGCAGCCCATCCGGATTTACTCCAGAGCCAGCTTGTATGGTCCTAATATTGGGCGGCCCAGGAAGAACGTAATCGCCCTTCTTGATGGGTAGGTCAGATTATTTAGCTGTTCTTAAGACAATGTTCGTTACTGTCATGGATTGATGCATTTGCTTTTTTTTTTTTTTTTTGCGAGTTGTTTTTCTGGGTCTCATGCAGTCCAGAGGCATTCTTCTTCCATGTGGCTATCCAGTTTTTGAAGCAGAGACTCATTAAATGATGTGAAAGATTTTTCATTTCTTTTGGCCTTACATGGTCAGAAGAGGGTGGTGGGGTGGTGGGAGAGATATGCAGTCTCCAGGATGGGCGGGAAAGGATGGATTGTTTGGAAAAACACATTGACTGTATGTGTTAGGCTGGGTTGTCTAGAGAGACAAACCTAGTCAGACTATATATGTGTGAGAATCAGCTTTCTGTCCAAAAATAAACTCATATCAAAAGGAGGCATCCCAGCCCAGTTCAACTGAAGTCCACAAGTCCAAGGCTAGCCAGCTGGTCTCCAGACTCACATAAAGCAGAACACAAACTCCCTGCCATCGAGCTGATGCTAACGCATAGTGACCCCCCTGTGGGTTTGGAGACTACCTGTAGGAGTAGAAAGCCCCACCTTTCTCCCAAGGTCTGGCCAGTGCCTTCCACCGCAACCCAGCATGACCACTGCACCCCCAGGACTCTTTCAGATGCACACCACTGACGTCAGCAGGTGACAAGGGATGCTGGGAGGTTGATGGCCTCACATGAGGCCACCCCTAGAGGTGGGCACAGAGTCCCCCGGAAGCCCCACCCAGGAGGAAGGAGTCATGGCAGAGAGAGAAACAGTTCCCAGAGTCATTCCCTGACCTACAAAAGGGCACACCCACAAGAAGGAGCCACCAAGCTACCACTTGATTGGCAGGTTTGACTCCACTCCTCGCTAGGAGTGTCCCCTCAAACCCCTCCAGACTCACCACCATGAAGTTGATACCAATTCATAGCAACCCTGCAGAGCAGGGTGCAACCACTCTTGTGAGGTTCTGGGGCAGTGACTATTTACAGTAGTAAAAGCCCCATCTTTCTCCCAAAGAGTGGCTGGCGGCCTAGTTGACATAAAATCATCCAACGACCACACTTTGGCAGCATTGTAGGTATTATTTTGTATTTTAAAAAATGCAATGAAAATGATCCACTCTATTTCTGTAAACTCTTACAGAAAGTGAAGCTTGACCACTCTTGGCAGTGAAACATCTTTAAAAGGTTGGGAAGCAATATAAACATATTATAACAAAAGTTAACTGGTAGCCTACATAGCAGGCATTTTGAACAATTGCTACCACTTGCTTTATTTAATTTTAATTGAATTTGAAGCTCTGATTATAGGTTAGATACTTTTTAAAAATGCTATCTGTCTCAATCATGCAGGTGGGCGAGGCTAAAATTGCATATGGGTGACATCCATGCAAGTGAAATCCAATCAGGCAGGGTCAGAGGATGTCTCTGACCATGGATACATTGTCAGTGGAGCAGTAGCATTATGGTCAGAAAGCGTCAGTATGGAACTGGAGTGGGAAGGGTGGGGGAAACTGAGGCGGAGAGATTCAAGAATTTATCTGGAGCACAGGGTACGCACCAAAGCACACCTCTTACATGGTATTCTCTGAGCGGATATGGTTACTCCTTCCAAATCAAAGATGAGGGAGACGGTGTGCAGGGAAGTGCACAGACCACTTGGGGTAAGATAAATGCCATGGAAATGTCAACAGAATTATCTGAGGAAAGAAAACCCTTTGCCTCCATGATGGCCCCTGTGTCTTGATGGCCCCTGGGACGCTCTCTCACCCCTTTTCTGGTGAGTGGCTTAGTCCTTATCTAGCTAATTATCAGCACAGGATTGCATATTGAGAATGCATAAGATTTGGATTACAATGGCATTAATAACCTGAAACTTAATTTTAGGCGAGCTCCAATTTTGTATCATGTCCCCAGGCCCACATCCAACTTTTCCCCTTTCCCCACTCTTCTCTATCAGCAACAAAAATGAAATATTTCTTTTCTTCTTCTTTTTTTTTTTTAACAGAACAGTTCTAAGTTGCTGCCCATAACTATCGCTCTGGGTTCCTCTTTGCCATTTCAAAGTCTCAGTGAAATTTTGAAATGGCTCTGTGCACAAGGGATAGAGCTAGAGATGTGGATGGAGATGGGGAGGTTGATGCTGTCCTTTGGTTGTTGTGTTCCGGGGCGTAGATTTTGATTCATACTGACCCATTAGCATGGAGTAGAACAACCCAATGAGGTTTCCTAGGCTGCCATCTTTAAGGCCATCCTTTGCTTGCATAGTGAGGCACTCATCCAAAAGCCACTGTACTGCACACAGATGTGGCAGCCCACGTCCATGAAGACGGTCGCCTTGGCAACCGTACAGTGTGGTGCTCCTCTGTTCTATAGGTCATTGCATGTTAGAAGAGCCTGAAGGGTAACGGGTAATGTTTATGGAATCAGAGATCCACGTTCTTTTTCCCTCTGGGAGCTTTGGTGAGTTCCAAATGCTGTCCTTTTACTTAGCATCTGAGCCCGTAACTATTACGCCACCAGTCAATGCCCCCTTGGACGCCATTTCACCTGTTATAGTTAAGTGGCAAGAATCATGTGTGGAACTTTAGCCACAATACCGAGGTGCATGATAAAGCAAAGCTAACAACTCTACCATCTATGTCCACAGAGCTATTATCTTTGGATTGTCCTTTTCTTTAATGATTTTATTAATGTATTTCTATAGGACCCACATGATTGATATATAACCATGTATCGAGAATGCATTTATTCAGGAAATATGTCTTGAGAAATTATGTTCCAAATACTATATTCCAAATAGGAGATGCTAAGAATTGAGAATATAATAGTGAACAAAAACATACACTCTTTGCTCTGTGAAGTATACGACACCGTAGGAGAAACCGGCATGGATCAGATCATCTTAAAACTAAGCTATCAAAGGGAGAGGCATAGTGCTATGAATGATTATAAAGGCTGGAGAGCTACTGAGATCACAGAAGGGAAGTCATACAAGAGCCCCTTAAAAAAATAAACCATGTAAAGGGTTATTCAAACTAAAAAATGAGTCTTCAGTAGCAAGGTAAAGAGAGTAGAGAGCAGTATTTCATGTTCTTGGCAGAAAGAAATGCATGGGCAAAGCATCATCAACAACAACAACAACGTAATTAAGAAGCCCTGGTAGCACTGTTGGTTGGGTACTGGGCTGTAGGGTGAGTGGAGAGACTCAAACTCATCAGCTGTTCCGAAGGAGGAAGATGAGGCTGTTCACTTCTCTAAAGATTTGCAGATGTAGAGCCTCTTGGAAGCAGTTATGCTCTGCCTCATAAGGGGATGGCGGTAGGGTTGCTATGAGTCAAACTGCACTCGGTGACAGAGCTTTATACAGACATATACACCCCTGGTGAAGAGATTAGCATCTTTTCTGAGTGGGGAAGGTGTTTAATTTATTTTTAACTTGTAAGGGAAATAATTTGACCTGGTTTATGAAAAGTATGTTCTATGTACTCTTGAAAACAAATAGGAGAGAGAGAAATCTGGAAAGCCAGTGAGACGGCTGCTATCTTCGTGCAAAAAAAAGAAAGAAAGAGACCAAGATTCAGGTAGTGGCGGTACTGTCGGAGGTAGCATCTACTTGTTGATAATTTAATGGTATGGTGATGTGGCATAGAGGTATGTCAATAGCTGGGCAGATGGTACCACCATTTGATGAGACAAAAATTTAGGAAAAAATCTGGTTCTGGAAAGAAAATCATGACTTTTGATGTTATGTTTAGTACGAATGAATTTTACTGGAGATGTCTGTTGTATCGTTGAGTCAAAATCAGTGCTAGAGATATTAATGTTGGATGTCATTAGTATGGAAATGGGATTTAAGACGACGAGAATGGATGAAATGCGATAGAAAATGTAGTGGGGTGGGAGACACAGGCAGAAACAGGAGAGACCCCAGAGGAACCTTTAGAGGTGTCGGTAAAAAGGGGGGGACTGGAGAGGTCTGCGGAAAGGAGACAGGGGTCACAGGAACCAGGAGGAACGAGTGCTCAGTAAGGAGGACTTGATGCCAGGCGATCCAGAAGTCATCACCAGAGGCCAGGAAGTAACAGTAGACTTGGCAACAAGGTAATTGGTGACGTAAGAAAAACCGGTCCACGGAGACGTGCAAAGAGAAGGCAGAGTCATCGCTTGAAGAGTGAGCAGGAGGTGAGGAATTGGAACTAATCTAAGCAACTCTTAAGAGAATTCCTACCGTGAAGGGGAGCAGACAAATGGAAGGGCCTATGAGAACAGGGAGCTAATGAAATGTTCTTCCTCTAATGGGCTCACACATATGGCCAATTGTCCGCATGGCACGAGATTGGGCCCTGTTTGCTTCTGTTGCACATTGGCTCTCTGTGAGTCAGTGCTGAGTCCCTGGGACCCAAGAACAACAACAACCGTAGCGTGGGAGGTAGGAGAGAGAGAGAGTTGATAAGACTTATCTAGGAGAAGGAAAACATTTGATAGCCAAAAGACAAAGGAATAGCCAAAGACAGAGACCTTGACATTTCAGTAGTGGCTGTCAAGTGGATTTCAATGCGTGGCAGCTCCACGTGGGTCAGCGTGGTCAACCCCAATGACTGGTTTTTCCAGAAATCGATTCCCAGGCCTCTCTCACTAGATGTCTCTGGGGAGGTGTGAATGGTCAGCTTTTGGGTTCACAGCCAAGCACATGGCATCCCCAGAAAGCCCTGTGAAGGATAGAAGGGCCTTCCTTGAGGGGATGGGATTCCCCTGGAGATCAGAGCTCAGAACCAAATATTTCTATAGGTCTAAGATAAGAAAGCCATGCTGAAGGACAAGCCAGGCCCAGACTCAGGCCCAGGCCGAGAGGCCATTTCTGTCGTTCCCTCAATTAGTCATTCAGTCCGCATGCCGTTAGGGCGTCTCAGCTGTGAGCTCGGTATAAAAGCGAGCTCGTCGGTGCTGGTTTGTCAAGACTAAATCAGGAAATCTTGAGACAATAGTAAAGAAGAGCTGACA